GAGGAACCCCCAGAGCATTCCTGGAGTGCTTGTGGACAGCAGATGGCTTTGCCTTCTTGACAACCCTGCTTTAACAATCACTACCTAAGGAATTTGAATCTGATGCAGACAGGCAGGGAATGCTGGAAGCTTGCATGGCAGCATCTTCCTGAGGGGATTACTTTGTTTTCCCTCATATCTCAACCTGTCCACAGCGTCTGGTACTACAGCTGCCTCCACAGCCTCCCCACCAAGGGAAGGAGCTTCCATCTGTCTGTTTCCCTCCTGGGTCCTCACCTGCATCTACTCTACTCAGTATGGGCAGGAACCTCATCTGCATTCATGAGCAGCCAGGGAACATTTGCTTTAGGACACTACAAAGGGAATGAGTAAATCATTTCTCACCCATTCAGAAAATTTCCTCCTCAGACAGTAAAGTGAATGGACAATATTCTTTTCAAATGACTTAATAAACTGCTCTAACAAGCTTAGAAACCAATGATGAACCTGATATCAAGGTAGTCTGAGAAAAACATCCAAAGTTCTTCAGGGAGACAAATATTGACTCTAACATTTTAGCTACCAGAAATAAAAATAAATTCAGGTTTGGGATTTACTGTACTTTTTTGTTCATTTTAATCCAGAGAGTCCTTGGAAGGGTTAAGTGACATCCTAATGTAACGTGACTAGCACAGGGCTTGGCACACAGTCAAAGCTCAATATCAGTGTTGCTGTCAATTTGGTTTGAATGAGCTGACATCGAAAGCTTCGCAGTTAACCTAAAACTTCTCAAATGTCAACAAATGTAGGTTTTTTAAAGCACAAATTTCATTTTCATATAGACATTATATGAACATACATCACAGATTTTACTTAACTATATCATTAATGAAAGAACCAGGAAGTTATATGAATTCAAAGGAGAATTCAAATGATATAATATATACAATTCATTCCATGATTTTATTTATATGCATATAAATAAAATATACATAAATCATGTACATATAAAACATGTTATTAATTGTATATAAATAATATTTCAGATGATACTTATATATAATGATGGAATATATCAGATATATTTACCATAAATTTATTCATAATATTTCTCCCCATGTAAAATAAAATCATGAAATGAATTAACTAATAAAAATATAATAACTTTAATGAGAACTATTGATGCCCTGAGGACATAATTTATTTACATATCTGTAGATACAAAGCATGGGCATTGATATCACTCATCTACAATTCACAGGATCTTTAAAATAGCTCTAATACAAAAGAAGGTACAAATTCCAGAGAATCTAAAAGCCAGAATGATGTGGTTCACACACAGTTTACTAAGGAAGACATCTAATAATCCTTTCATCTATGTCAAAGACTTTTACAGCCTTTCATTACACATGGCTCTTAAAAAGGAGAGATTTTGCTGAATCAAGCCAACTTTGTTTAAACATACATTTAAACATACAGCCCTCATAATCTGATCACTCATAAGTAATTACTTTTAATGCATAACATGTACTCATGCATGTATTTTCCTATGTATTTGTATATGCACGTATGTATTCAGGGTCTACAAATAGTTTGCATTATGAAAAATTATATATGGCTTTTATAACTTTTTACATTGTAACTAATTTATCTTCTATTTCCTAAGAGCTTTTAAAAAAATGTGACAAGCAGAAAAATCTTCCACCCACTGATTCACCTCTATTTGACCAGACTGAAATCCATTTCATGTTGGTGGCAGGGACCCAGCAACTGGAACTATCACGTGCTATCCCCCAGGATGTGTGCTAGCAGGCAGCTGGAGTTAGAAATGGAGCCAGAACTCAAACACAAGCACTCTGACATGGGATACAGGTACCCCACGAAGCTGTCTGATCACTACAACAAATGCCACTCCATCCAGGAATGTTTTTAAGCCCCCTTGTGTATATCTACTATAACTTTTCATTGTTTTTTAAAAATTGGCTTTAATAAACTTTGCTGCAGAAAACTCCATTCAGTTGTGCTATATATTCCAATTTGTAGCTTTCCTCTTTAATATCATAAAAAGTTTTCTTATCATTATTTTGAAAAGCTACAAAAATTCCATTATGATGAAAAACCATAGTTAAAAAAACTCATCTGCTATGATCATAAATTTAGTTTCTGGCAATTCTTTAGGTGTGATAAATCAAAACATGTGTTTCTTCTGATATCAAACAGTTCAGAGATCACCTGGGCTTTAAGAGGTTGCTGCGATCCCTGGAGCACCTTTGGGCCGTCTTTGACTGCTTTCCCAGGCCACAAGCAGGGAGGTGGATGGGAAGCAGGGCTGTCGAGATTAGAACCAGCACCTATATGGGATCCCGGCACGTGCAAGGTGAGGACTTTAATCACAACGCTATCATGCCAGGCCCAACCTTGGATTTCTTCTATGGAAAGTTTTCAACAGAAACAGTGACACAGTGACATATTGACAGGAGCATGGCCTGCAATGACTGGCCTTCCTTGTTAGAGCACTGTGTCTACTTCTGCTGTCCTAATTCTTAGGTAAATCTGAAGAAATTCTAGAGAAAGAAAATCATTAACATCTAAGAGAGAGGCTTCAAAATCCTACAACCTGCATTTAAAGGCAGTTTTTGTTGGACTTGATATAGAGTTGGTGCTCAGTACTGGCTGAACAGAACATAGAGTTTAAAAAATTGATAATACTGTCTGATTTTCATGGGACAGGAGCCACCTACACTCATGCCTGTTTCTTATTTGTAAAATCTACCGTCTTTTCAGGTATTTACTCAAAGGTAAAGTCAGGAACAACACTGACCATATTATAGTCTTTCTGAGAAGAATTGCCTCTTCTCTTCAAATGAACTTTAAACCAGCAGAGAGTTTGGTTTTGGACTAAGGAGCGTAGGAATACTATTAATAATAACAATTATCATATTTAACAACAATGAGATATTGCAACAAGCCACATCCAGGATTTGTAGAAACTACATCCACAGGGAGCTTTAAAAATAACACAAACAATGACAGTGTAAGGATCTGATAGATCTACGAGTTCTTCTAGAAGTCAGAAAGTAAACCACATTCTCTTTTTTCAGGTCTTCTCCAGCTCTGGAAGAAAATGAAGTAGATATCCTGTACTCACTGAAGTAAATTGAAGAGGGGACAGAAGCTGGGCACAAAAGTTAAAGCACTGGTTAGGACAGCTTATCTCACAATAAAGTCTGAACTTGAGTCCTGGCTCTGACTCCCAATTCCAGTTTCCTGATGACACAGACCCTGGAAAGCAGTGGTGGCTCAAGTAATTGGATTTATGCCACCTTCATGAGACACTGGGATTGAATTTCAACTTCCTGACTTCTCCTGGTCGAGTCCCAGTTGTTGTGGGCATCTGGGGAGCACAGTATGTATGGGCGCACTCTAGCTCTCTACCTCTATCGCTATTTCTAACTCTTTTTTCCCCGTCTCTCTCTGCCTCTCAAAAAGAAAAAAAAAATGTGGTGCTTTCCCTAAAAAAAAAATTAAAAACTGATACAATTATGTTGTGAAGCTTGCTGCCTACTGCTCAAATAAAAGTTCTGCAGGATATAAAGTCAGGTGGTAGCAATCAAGCAAGATGGATGCGCCTATCATGTGCCAATCTTAACCCAGGTGGACAGTGCCATGTGGCCAACTGTCAGAGATGGAACATTCAATGAGTTAGATAGTAGGATTGAGATAACATGGTAAATACCTTGATTTTCTTTTCTTTTCTGCCCCTTCTGGCAATATCCAAACTCCCAAAACTACCACATCATGCTGATTCCTTCTAAGAGTGATCCAAGAATCTCAAGTCTGTCTAGTTCTTGTTCTGCATTCAGCAAGGTGTTTGATCAACTCCACTCAACCTTTAAACAGCCTTCTTTGCTGAGCACAAGAAATGCAAAAGCACTTTCTCGGGTTCCTCCTACCACTTCTGTATAGCTTCTGTGACTAAGCAGGAATCCCTTTGGTTCTTTCATATGCCTCCTTGGAAATACCTTGAAGAATGTAAAAGCAATGGGCACATTCTCCTTCCCAGGGCAGTCTGATCATGGCTAACTGATAAAGACCAAACCACACTGGTGTGGACACCTAAAGGTGTCCCAAGAAGACAAGTCTTTGCTTTTCAACAGTCCTACCACCAGATTAGTAATACAGTTACACAGGAGATCCCATTTTAGCTTTTTAGAAGGAAGAAGACCCGTGTGACCATGTCCCATGGGATGCCTCTCCCTTAGGAAAAAAAATTATTCTACTGAAGAATCAGACCATTACTCAGTTACACATTTCTAAAATGCTAAGAAAATGGAAAAACGGGAGCAGGACAGGGAGGAAAAGTGTTCTTTTGCTGTTTTATATTCAATTATGTTGAGAGAAAAATATTTCAATTAAAATTTTACATTTTTCTTATGCTATAAGCAATAACTTTAGAGATAAGGAAAATCTATAATTTTTAAGATGTGCAGAGGTATAATAAAATCTAGCATAGAGCAGGGGCAGATACTAGAAACAAATTCAAGATAACCTCAGAGAGTTCAGGGGGAAATAGTATTAAAAATTATTTCGGTGCAAAAGTCTTCTGAAATTCTTTTCAGAATTCAGACTTTTTTATAAGACACGTTATCCATGCACTTTTTAAAGACCTTTTGTATGCACAGATTTCAATTTTTTTTTTACACCAAAAACCCGTATTTTTCAATTCCACTTTTTCTACAAACTATTAAAAGTACTCTACCCTACGCTGAACCCCTGTTGCTTTCAACCAGGCTGCATTGATGGAAACCCTGTATCAAAAGAAGAAAAATAATTGCCCCTATCATTGATTTTTGCTAACTAGGCACTAAGTAAACGCCACTTCCTATGTCAGGAGAGTTAATCTAAGTATGATAACATTCCACTAAAGGCAAAGTTTCAATGAACCCCAGAACAATGGAAGCGTCAATGCCAGCAGACATTTCTCGAAGGCAGCAACCTCAAGCTGGAAACTGGCTTCTTACCTTCAAAGAACTGCTGCAGAGCCTCGTGCTCGCCTACCACGTCCATGGTGCTGGGATCCTGGTAACTGTTCCCTTTTAAGACAGGGTCCTCAGACTCCCGGAAGTGCCACCCTCCGGATCCAGAGCCTAGGAGTGATCCTGAAAACGTTTTGTTTTCTTTTTATTGGAGTGCAGCATGTCTTCAGCCATCTGCTTGTGCCAGGAAGTTGGCCGAGTTCTCAAAGGTGACTCTCGAATGAGAAGGATATGCGTGGCGTTGGGACAACTGGAGAAGGGGGAAGTAGCAGCGAATCCATCTAGCTTCAGGCTGGGAGCAGCACCCACTCTGCCTTCTGCCTTTGTTTTAAGGACCTTTGTCCTTGGTGACACATGTAATTACATAAATGGGCAATAAATACATAGTCTTATCTCCTATGTGTTCTTTTACACCCATCAATTTCTATCTCTGTCTTTATCAATCAGATCCAGTTAACTACTACCAAGATAAGTTTTTTTTTTCCCTAATCAAAAAAGGGGCAAATCAATATAATGACTTTTATAAATACCAAAAATAGCAGATTATTGTAAAAGGCTTGTGAGAATGCATAGCTAGGATTTGATAAAGATTTCCAAATTTACAGCACAAACTTAGATTCCTCAATACACTATGGGTTTACTTCCTCCAGATTTTTTGTTAAAAGTGTAAACCATAATATATGAGAAGTCTCTCACACAAGCAATAAAAACTGCATTACAAATTTAGTAATTCTTACAGCTGAATATATGGTTCATTGTGAAATAGTTTGTTTTTACTGTTCTGCTATAATTTACACAGTAATAGCCTAAGAAGAATATAATTAGGAAATTAAACTACTCTATTAGCCCTTTGCTTTGTTCTTCTCTCAATTTGTGCTTTGATAAAAATTATGAAACGACAGAAAAATTGAAACACTATCATGAAGTACTCATTTATTCCTCACTTAAACTTACTAATTATTATTGTCTTGACATTTTTGCATTTTCTCTCTTAAGATATAAATATCCCTTTTCTCTATTCGGCTGAGCCATTTGGAAATGAGTTGCTGGTAACTTGACATAATACCCCTAAATAAGCCAGCATGTGTCTCCTGACAGCAAAGCTATTTTTCTACCAGGAACAACATCACCATTATAGCAAAGAAATGCAATCAACTTAATACTGTCATCACATGTATAATTTCCACCATTCCAAAATTACTTATTATGACCTGGCATTTTGATCAAGGATGCTATGAATGCTAAATCACTTTCTGTTGACTGTATCTTTTTAAAATATAGAACAAAAACATCAAGACATCGCAGGGTGCCCCAAAAGCATTGACAATTTTTAGGTATGTTCAAAAAATGTTTTAAATCTCTTTTGAAAAACACATTTTGTCCCAGGTCAATTTGGGCAAGTCATGAAATTGTTTGAAAAAAACAATTTCCTACTTGTTTCAATTCAACTCATGTGAGGCTACCTGCTGGGTACAGGAGATAAAAAGCTAATGTACCTGTTCCAGGTTCAAATTTAGCGAATGAGACAAACCCAACGAACTATAACCCAATTCAACTATAAGATCCACAGAAAACATCCCAAGAGAACCAAGAGAAGAAAGATTAATCTAATCTGCAAAAACCAGAAAAGTGGGGCCTGGTGCCATGGCCTAGTGGCTAAAGTCCTTGCCTTGAACGCACCAGGATCCCATATGGGTGCCGGTTCTAATCCCGGCTGCTCCACTTCCCATCCAGCTCCCTGCTTGTGGCCTGGGAAAGCAGTTGAGGACAGCCCAAAGCCTTGGGATCCTGCACCCGCATGGAAGACCTGGAGGAAGTTCCTGGCTCCTGGCTCTGGATCAGCACAGCACTGGCCGTTGCTATCACTTGGGGAGTGAATCATTGGACCGAAGATCTTCCTCTCTGTCTCTCCTCCTCTCTGTATATCTTTGTATTATAAATAAATAAATAACCTGGAAAAGTACCACAAAGAACTAGGATCTGAGGAGATGGCAACAGGTTCTATAACTTTAGGAACATGAGCAAATGGCTTAGAAGGAAAAGTTCACAGTGGGTGCTGAGTGTTTGATGCAGTGAGAGGGATACTGGAACAACAGGCTAAAGGAGGATCCTGGTAGATTCTGGAAGTCACCTAATCCCCTACATTTTCACTGTAAAGGTATGTATTGACAATTTCTATATGAGAGAGTATGGGGCAATGCACGACATAACGACACCCAATTGTAAAAAAGAAAAAAATTAGTGATTACAATTACTGATTGCAGCAGTAACTAAAGTTAAACCAGTTCCAAAGCTACTATGAGAATCCACTTTAGCAGTAAAAATGAAACCAAAAAAAATGAATAAACAAAAACAAAAACACAAACAAAAAAACCCTAAGGTTGGAGCCAGTATTATGGCATAGCCAGTAAAGCTGGTGCCTGCAAATCCAGCATTCCATATTTTCGAGGTTTCAAGTCCTGGCTGCTCTATGTCCAATCAGGATCTCTGCTAAAGAACTTCAAAAGGCAGAAGAGGATGGCCCAAGTGCTTTGGCCCTTGACACCCAAGTGGAAGATCTGGAGGAAGCTCCTGGCTTCAGCTTGGCCCAGGCCTGGCCACTGCAGTCACCTAGGGAGTAAGCCAGCAAATGGAAGTTTCTTTCTCTCTCTCTAACTCTTCCAAAGAACTATACAAGTCTTTCTTAAAAATAAATACATAAAATAAAGCCAAAGAATATACAAATCTTTAAGAATAAAATAAAGCTTAAATCAACAAGAAAACAGTATATTGATTGAATCCAGGAAGCAAGAATGAAATTGGTGCAATTTTTTAAAGTGTTTTGATGCCTTTCAGTAATATGGCAGCTAAAATGCCTAGACCATGCAGCTTCCAGCCACACTTCCAGCCCACTGCTCTGGAAGTCCATGGAAGTAACTCCCACAATGGAATCCAGCACCAGATTACAACTCTGGGTCCTATCTGAAATACACCCAAAGGCTCCACATTCTCAATTGCAAAGGAGTGGTGGGAAACATCAGAGAGGACTGAGCTGAAAAGCTACGGTTAATGTCACAGTCCCAAGCTCATCTGCTTCAAGGGACAGCAAAGTTGGTAAGCAGGTCAAAATAAGCAAAACTACTCAGTGACAACCATGTAAGGATATTAACCCCCAGCCTTGGTGTCAGAACATCTAGAAAAGGCAGGAAACAAGCAAACCAGACAGTGTGTATTCTGCTAATGGGCGGGGAAAGCCAGCTGCGGAGTGATGTCAGTGAACTTCATCCAAGCACTATCAGTCAAGAATTTGGGCTCACTGTTCCTGCTAAGACAGGAGGTGAACTGAGTAGTGCTGGCTCATGGACTGACCCACTGGTATGCGCGAAAACTGGCACTCGGAGGGATTCTGATGGAGGAACCTGGGCAACTCCTCTGACAGAACACAGACCCTGCAAGTAAGCGCAAGAAGCATGGAGGGAAACAGCCCAGAAGAGGTCATGGACAGTGTCCCACTGGCATACATTTGGCATGGGTCAGGGGCAGACCAGGCTAAATCAGTTCACGTCATCCACTGGCAAATCCAAACACTGGAGCAGAGTGTGGGTCGGGCCAGGTTAGGTTGCGACAAAAGCAGTATACAACACAGAATGCCAAGGCGAGGCTGCCTGTGCCAGATGTAACTGCAGCACCCAACCAGCAAGCGTGAGAATCAGGAAGGGAGGGGCAGAGCCAGCAGGGGAATAAGGGGTGGTCCTCTTGCTGGACAGCTACTCCCACTGGAGAGCGTGAGCTGGGATGGGGGCAGACCAGATTAGGCAGGGTTACAGCACCTGTGTGCCTCATGTGGACCAGATCAGGGAAAAACCAAGCTGGGCTGATTATTCCTACTGGTGCAATCTACAATTGGAGTGGGTGAGGGTTGTTGAGGCTTAGCTGCAGCATCAGCTGGCAGAAGCTGGCACTGGGGGCTAGTTCTGTCAAGTCAAACCATCTGGAAAGTGCATAATCCAGGAGTGGGAGTGGCCTGGGAGGAAATAGTGGGCTCCTCCCTCTTGGGTTACCATCCCCACCCCCATGGGAGGGCACGAAAACTAGGGCAGGGGTTGGAGTGGCTTGAGAGACACCCAACAACATCCGTGAAGGCTGGATAGTTGAGCTGGTTAGATGGAACAAGGTTTTAATATCCACTGACATGTATGAGAGCAGAAGGGGATGTGGGACAGACTGGACTAGTCTGCCACACATACTGGCAAACCAGGACAGGGGACGGGCCTGGTGGGGGTTATTGTGGGTCGCTCCGACTAGGCTGCAGCCCACATTCGTTTGTGTGAGGGCCAAGGATGTGCTGGGAAGAACCAGGCTGGACTGCAACACCCATTGGTTTCAGTGGAAGACAGGGATGAAAACAGAACCAACCCAGCAATTGCAACCAACAGCTGATCCGGGCAATGGACTGTGCCGGGCCCTGTGCTTGTTAGTACATACAAGAATCTGGTCTGGGAATACCTCAAAGTTTCTTTGGGGATCCCCCCCAATCGAGATTCCGGACTCAGAACCCTAACCATCAAAAGACAGAGGACAGAACAAGTCCATCAACCACCTCAGCTACATGTTGGCAGTGAAAAACTGGGCAAACGGAGACTCTAAGATGGACTATGTGAATGAGTGGATTCTTCAACGACCTCATCGTGCTTGGAGTGGTGAGAGTGGCAGCAATTCAGATCCATTGAACTAACAAAACCACTGGAGCAAGTATCTCAGAGCATGCCCCACATCGGGGAACTGGGGTGGGTGGGAGACTAGGTGGGGCTTCTCCTTCAAAATCCCCTTTTACATCAGATATATTAAGGAAACAATACAGAACTAATTGTCTTGCCCTTCTTCCTGTAGCACTTGAACCTTTTTACCCTAATTATGTCAAGATTGTCAAAAAATAAATTTAAAAAAAAACTTCAAGTATAAAAAAAAAGAATTTGGGCTCATTGTTATCAAAATGATCAATTTCATGAGAGAAGATTAAAACACAGGCTTCAGTTTCAAATCTCCTCATTA